CCTCCTTGGGTCGGTTTCCCGGCCAGGGTGAGAGCTCCAAACGCTGCCACCTTCCTTTTCCTTCCAGCAGGCCGTTGGGACCCAGCCTGGGCTGCCCCGTTGTCACTTGCGGGGGCTCTGCTCCCACTGCTGCAGCCTGGCCCAGTGTCCCTTCCCCAGACTAGGACCCAGAGGTTGGGGCCGGGGGTCTGCAGAGGAAAGGTTCTAACTGGAGAATATTCTCCAGAGTTTACCTGCCTCAAAAGCCCACTCTCATTCTCACACTTTTTTTTTTTTTTGTCTTTCCCTTTTTAGGCCATGATTTCTGGAGAGCTCGACATTCTCAAAGACTGGTGCTATGAAGCTGTAAGTGCTTGCTTGCTTTCCCCTGCTGTTTAGGCCTCAGAAGAAATCACAGTTCAGAGGAGATCTGCTTGGGTGGCTCAGTCCGAGAAGGGCTGGGATGTCAGGGGTGGGGGTGGCTACAGGCTGGGGGCCCAGAGGTCAGGGGGTGGGCAGAAAGGGACGGCGGATAACTCAGAGGGTGCATTCGATGTTCCCTCAGTGCATGGGGGTCGTGGGTGCTGGCCGGCAAGTGGGCTTTGAGGCCCCACAGCCTCCCTTCCCTGGGCCGGAGTTACATCATCGGGCTCATCTCATGGGGGTCGTGAGGATGCTTTGGGGACACAAGGGCAGCGCTCCAGCACATGCAGCGCTGGATGTATTCATGAGCTGTTCTCATTGCAGGATCCTCAAACACATCCAAACAGACATTGATAGATTCCCACCCGGGAAGAGCCGTGTGTCCTGACGAGGCCTGGCTGCTTCCTGGAGTCGGGGCTCTGGGCCCCGGGCCACAGGCTGCGCTGGGCTGCATGGCGGCAGCTCAGGCGTCCTTGGGAGCATGCTGTCTGCACTGCCCCTTCCTGGCAGCCTCTCCATCCCTGTCATCAGGCCACCTCACCCCACCCTGCTCACTCCCTGACCTGTGTCTTCACAGCGTTTGTTTCCCCCCTCCCTCCCCCACCAGCTTCTTGATACTGAGCAATCCAGAGTCTCTTTTGGCTGATTTTATTCTGTACCCAGCTCACAAACAACTTGAAAAAGCAGAGAAGATGTCAGGTTTTCCTGTTAAATACTGCCCTGCACGGTGACTAACCCAACGGGCATTTATGAGTGGTTTGGGTTTTGTTGTTGTTTTGTTTTTTACTTTGGGACCATTAGGATGGAGCTGGTTATCTTTGCCAGCAAGCTGCTGCTGGTGCCCCTGGAAACGCAGCTGAAGTTGCAGCCGCTCACACAGGGGTGTTTTGAAAGTGTCATCTGTAAGAAACCACACAAGATTGGCGCTTTTTTTTTTTTTTTTTTTGTAGTATCTCATGGCTCCCAGATTCTGTCCACTGAGGTATCAATGATAGTACTTGCCCCCAGATGTCTGTGACTGATTTTTTTTTTTTTTTTTTTTCCACTTGGTGGATCAGTTACTTCCATAAAGAGTGGATGCTGTTGGAATGTCTTCTGTCATGGTTGCTTGTTGAGATACAAGGCTGCTGGCTGCTGTGTCCCAGGCCTGGGAGCAGGCACAAGAGGGTTAGGGTGTCGTTTGGGGCACCACTGCCTCCGTAAGAGGAACAGGCTGCCAGTGGCCGAGACCTGCCCACAGGGGCTGGTCAGTGACAAGGCGGTAGACCCAGGCAGTTCACCCCAGAGCAGCCGCGGGGTAGGATGAATCCTAGAAAAAGCGTTTGGTTCCAGGCCAAGATTCACAGTGAGGTGAACATGGGAATGTTCAGGGTCAGCCAGAGAGGCCTCGACTTACCTCTGGGAGTGTATTCCAGATCGCGTTCCTGGAGAATTAACCGGCCTCACTGATTAATACCGCTTTCAGTAGCGTTGATACGGTGCTGTCTTTATAATGAGAGGGCAGTGTGTGATTCGAGCCAGCCAACGGGTGGCACCGGCCTCCCTGCTTGGACCCATGCTCCTGGCATCTGCCACTCCTGGCGCCGCACACCCAGGAGCCGGGAGCCATTTCTGGAAGGTACAAGAGCTGAAAGCCTGAAACCCCATGGTGAGCTCGCCCACAGGGAGCTTCCCGAGACACCGCAACAGCCCCCGGCTCCCCTGCGGTGCAGTGCCTTGGCCTGGCTCGCACGCACAGGTGGCCGGCCATACGGTTGTGTCTGGCTTCTTGTTGCAGACCTACAGCCAGTTGGCCCACCCGATCCAGCAGGCCAAGGCGCTGGGCCTCCAGTTCCACTCCCGCATCCTGGACATCGACAACATCGATGTGAGTGCCTCTTCCGGGGGGCCAGGTGGACCCCAGGGTGGGCAGGGGTGCTTCTCTGAATTGCGCTCAGCTGGGAGGGTTGAGCTCCCCCTCCCTGGAGGAGTTCCAGTGCTTGGATTAAATGACCTCCAGGGTCCCTTTCAGTGGAAGGTTTCCACAGTCTTGCTGTCAGGAATTCTCAGGCAAGTGGTGGCCCAGGGGGTGCTGTTGCCCAGACCCAGGGCCCCCTGAGGCCCCTGAAGCCAGGGCTATCCCTGCACCTTCACTGAGGAGGCTTTGTCAGGACCGCTCAGGCCCCCCACTGGTCTGCTCTGCCACAATCGCCTCAATTTCCTCCCCGTGGGGAGCTGAAGGCACACCCACCACACCTGTGCGTGAGACAGCCGGCTCTGAGCGGCCATTACACGCCTTCACAGCCTCAGTCTGGGGAGCCTGTGTGGGTCCTCAGTGGTTCACATTCTGCCTCACAATTGGGAAGTGCCCGCCCGGAAATGGGCCAGTGGCAGGTGGCAGCCCTGGGGTGCTGAAGCAGGGGTCTGCACCTGGAGGGGGGAGCGGCAGCGAGGGGGCTGGGGACCATTCTCAGGCCTGCCTGCCCTGTTGTGCCCCTGCAGTTGGCCATGGGCAAGATGATGGAGCAGGGCCCTGTGCTGATCATCACGTTCCAGGCCCAGCTGGTGATGGTGATCAAGAATCCCAAAGGCGAGGTGGTCGAGGGTGACCCGGTGAGTGAGCGGGGGAGGGTATGGGGCGGGAACACGCAGTGAGGCCAGTTGAGAGTCAGGGGTTGCGGCGGGCGTGGCAGGGCAGCACCTCGAGCTGGGCCTGGCGGAGGGTAGCTGATCTCTCCGGTTTGACCAAGTCCTGAGTTACAGCCTCTGTCCCTGCCTCTGCTCTGGACCCCAGACCCAGGCCGACCCCGCAGCACCACTCCCTGGTCCCTCCCAGTGCCCTGTGCTGGCAGCGTCTCTCTCCGTCCCCTGCGCTTGTCCTGGAGTGGGTGCCGGGCTCGCACCCTGCTTTCAGCCCTCACCCTTCCCCGATTCTGCAGGACAAGGTACTGCGAATGCTGTGCGTGTGGGCTCTCTGCCGAGACCAGGGCGAGCTCAACCCCTATGCGGCCTGGCGGCTCTTGGACATCTCCGCCTCCAGCACAGAGCAGGTCCTCTGAGCGCAGCAGCCACGAGTGGGGCCTCGGGGCTGGATCGTCACTGCAGACACACGGGGGACTGGTGTCCACCTGCAGCAACTAGACCTCTGGGGACAAGACTGTCAGCTGTGCCCCCGCCGTGCCAGGACTGCTGCAGAGCTAGCGGGATGCGGCGGGGAGGGGAGGGGCTGCTGTGCACAACGCCAGCCCCAGCGCCACCCCTCTGCCCCATGGGGGCTGCTCGGGCCATGGGCACCCAGGCCACGGGCAGTGCCCAGAGGCCCCCAGCCCAGGGGTACCCTCCCAGGACCCAGTGGTGCGGTCTGGGCCCACTGGCTACATCAGCTAGGCCGTTTCAGCCTTTTTTTTTTTTTTTTTTTTTTTCACTGTGGTGGGAGTTATAACCTCCTGCCTGAACAAAACCTCCTTTTTTTTTTTTTTTTTTTTTTAACAGTGCCCTTATTATCCTATACATACGCAGAGATTTGGAAATAATAAAACACCAAAGTGCAGGAGAGCAACCTGGGTAGTCCAAGGTGTCTGTCACTGGGGTCGGGGGAGCTGGGACGGGGGTGGGGCAGCCCAGTGGTCATGGGGCGGCTGTCATGGTCACTGAAGGAACTCTAACAGAAGAGGGGGAGGACTCACCTGGACGGGATCCTGCCCACCCTGAGTATGTTGTCGGGCCGGGGGAGGGGGGGAGGAAGGAGACTGGAAAAGCTACGGAGGTTTTTAGTGACCTGAATGGGGTCTCTTGAGGGTTGGTGTCCCCGAGGCTGGAGGACCTTAAGCGCCTGTATGAGTTTTGGGGGCACTGGGATCCCCCAAACAGGGAGTCAGGGGTCGGTGTTGCAGAGAATGGGGTTGTGGGAGCTTAAGTGGGTGGTTTTGGGGGGGTTGCCTGTGGGGGTGGGAGGGCAAGGCCCTCGATGCTCATGGTTCTTTGGGGCCGGCGGTCTCTCCGGCGCCTCTGGGCGGGGCCCGGTTCTCCCGGAGGACGGGGCGGGGTCGCGGGCCCGAGCGCCGCTCCCTGCGCAGCCTCCGCCCCCCGCGGCGGCCCCGCCCCCGTCGCCATGGGAACAGCCGCGGCGGCCCGGCTGGCGCGGAG